ATATATATATATGTATGTATATATATATATATATATATATATATATATATATATATATATATATATATATATATATATATATATATATATATATATATATATATATGTATGTATATGTATGTATATGTATATGTATATGTATATGTATATGTATATGTATATGTATATGTATATGTATATGTATATGTATATGTATATGTATATGTATATGTATATATATATATATATATATATATATATATATATATATATATATATATATATATATATATATATATATATATATTTTTTTTTTTTTTTTTTTTTTTTTTTTTTTAAATAGCTACTGAACACATGTTTAAAATCTTTCTGAATAATTTGGTGCTGTTTACATCATTCTGGGTTATTTTTTGTACTGAATAATTATTTCCCATTTTCCTTATTAAACTGTTTTTTCCCCTTTTCTAAATACTTGTTTCCTAACACATATTTACTTCATTTAAAAGTTTTTTTGGTTGTTGTTGTTTTTTAACGAATAACCTAATAACATCGAGGAAAGCTGTCAGCCGGGTGCCTCTCCACACTCCTCTGATTAAACCGAATACCTGTTAACGCAAATCGGAATAAATTGTTCCAAGATATGCGTCGCTCAGGCCCGTTCCTTCGTCCCCGGGCCAATGGTACTGCGGTGCGGCGGCAGTATGTTGTACCCAAACTACCACTAACTTCACTCGCCCTCCCTGCCCTGGCCCCTTCCCTCCGCCTCCTCCTCTCCCTTCCTCTTTCCCTCACTCGTTCATCCTGTCCTTGCCTCTTCCCTCCGCCTCCTCTCCCTCCCTCACTCATTCTTCCTGTCCTTGCCTCTTCCCTCCGCCTCCTCTCCCTCCCTCTCTCCCTCACTCGCCCTCCCTTCCCTCCGCCTCCTCCTCTCCCTTCCTCTTTCCCTCACTCGTTCTTCCTGTCCTTGCCTCTTCCCTCCGCCTCCTCTCCCCCCTCTCTTCCCCACTCGTTCTTCCTGTCCTTGCCTCTTCCCTCCGCCTCCTCTCCCCCCTCTCTTCCCCACTCGTTCTTCCTGTCCTTGCCTCTTCCCTCCGCCTCCTCTCCCCCCTCTCTTCCCCACTCGTTCTTCCTGTCCTTGCCTCTTCCCTCCGCCTCCTCCTCCTCCCTCTCTCCCTCACTCCTTCTTCCTGTCCTTGCCCCTTCCTTCCGCCTCCTCTCCCCCCTCACTTCCCCACTCGTTCTTCCTGTCCTTGCCTCTTCCCTCCGCCTCCTCTCCCCCCTCTCTTCCCCACTCGTTCTTCCTGTCCTTGCCTCTTCCCTCCGCCTCCTCCTCCTCCCTCTCTCCCTCACTCCTTCTTCCTGTCCTTGCCTCTTCCCTCCGCCTCCTCTCCCTCCCTCTCTCCCTCACTCCTCCTTCCTGTCATTGCCTCTTCCCTCCGCCTCCTCTCCCTCCCCCTTTCTTCCCTCCCTTCCTTTCTCCCTCTCCCTTACTCGTCATCCCCCTTACTACCTTTCCACTCTTCGAATTTATCTTCTGTTCTCTTTTCTGTTACTGTCAATCTCTCATTGTCTCTCTCTCTATCTCTGTCGTTGTCACTGTCTCTGTCTCTGTGTCTGTTTCTGTGTCTGTCTCTGTGCCTGTGTCTGTGTATGCCACTGCCACTGTGTCTGTCACTGTATCTTTTCCCCGCTCCACCAACTCCACACGACCAAGATGCACTCTCCCTCCACACTCTTTACATCCGCACGCTCCCCACCTCTATCCATTTCCACCCGCTCTGTTCCTCCACCTCCTCCTCAACATCTCCCCTTTCCCCATCCCCTTCCACCTCCTCCTCCACCTCTCCCTTCTCCTCTCCCCTCTCACTCCCCCTTCCCCCATCCCCTTCCACCTCCTCCTCTCTCCATCGCCACCTTTAAGACTTAACAATTCGCCACTTAAACTCCAGGCTTTGGGAAATTGGTTAGGCAAGTCTCTCCTTCGGCAAGATGACCCAGGTTTATGTACGCCCGTATCCCTTAATACCCTTAAAAAACGATTGTTCCCTTAAAAGACTGCGAAAACACGAGAGAGATGGGTCTTAAAAACACCCCTTTTTTTTACACTCTTAAAGTAACAGTTGCCGGTTAACAGATAAAGTGTTCTTTAAAGGCTATCTCTTGAAACGGTGTTGACTCGGTAAACTACGGTTCTCCTCCTGACTTTAATAAGCGAGCCCGAATTGCTTTAAAAAGAACCGAAATTAAGGGATTTAGTTATTTATACTTAGGATCTAAATGTGTATAATAATCATCAACTTAGGAATCTCTAAACATGTCCTACTGATAACAAGAGCGTGTGTGTCTCTGTGTCTGTGTCTGTGTCTGTCTCGGTCTCTGTCACGTCTGTCTCTATGGCTGTGACTGTGATTGTCACTGTCTGTCTCTGTCTGTCACTGTCACAGCTGCCTCTATCTCTGTCTCTGTCTGTTACTGTCACAGCTGTCTCCATCTTTGTCTCTGTCTGTCACTGTAAAGAAAA